ATCGCGGAGCAGCCGTGTGTTGTGCCCGCTTTACAAATGGTGGGAACCGGCTTCACAGGGAGGGGAGGAGGATGCCTTTGCACGGCCCAGCAGCTCCTCCCCTTGCACACACACACACACACACGGGTGCTCCCCTCTTTCCCGCACTGCCAGGGCAGCAGCAAGCTGCGCATCCCAGGCGAGAGGGAGCCCAGCTGCCACCTGCGCGCGCCTGGGAGGAGGGGGGGATGCTTGTCCAGGGCTGCCCAAGTTCAAAGTTCACAGTTCACTTACCCCCCTCCCAAAAAAAAGTGCAGTAGTTTTTGCAATGCAAGATGGCGACGAGGCAGTGAGAGGAGGAGGAGGCAGCAGCGCGGCGAGGTAGGGATGTGGCTCTTCCTCGCCGGCGGGGGGTCCCCTCCATCCCCTCCCCGCGGGCATCCCTCTCCTTCCACCGCTTCTCCCGCTGCAGCGTGTGCAGGGCTCTCCCCCTGCAATGTGTGCTCTGCTCCCTGGAAATATGGAGGAAAGGTTTGGGGGAGGGAGGGTGCACAGCTCCCCTCCACTTCAGGATCAGTGCTTAGTTGTGGGGGAAGGTACCGAAAAGAAAAGGCAGCCCAGCCCAGGCCAGGGCAAGCGGGGCAGGGACAAGCCCTGGGCAGCGCTGCCCCCAGAGAGGGGCGAAGGGCTGCGCCTTCACCCTCCCCAGTAGACACAGCGGGGTTTGGAGGTGGGAGGGTTGCCCGTGTGTTTCTCCCCACCCTTCGCCTCCCTTTTGTTCGCCTGCAGCTGATGAGCTGTGGTTGTTCCCCTTGCCTCGGTGCGGGGAAGGCCCTACGTGTCTGGGGGTGCTTTGGGGGTGTTGGGGGCTCTGGATGGGGGCGGGAGCGAAGCACCGATTGCAACTTTGAAAGGAAGGGCCCTGAGGTCCTCTCTCCAATTCAGATGATTCCTTTTGCAAAAAATGTGAAGTCTCTTCAGGGGATGCTGCAAACCCCTTGGTGTGAGGGGAGGAGGTTGTTTTTAAAGATTAGGGTCAAAAGTAGTGGTGATGAGGAATAAAGGGCTTTTTTTTTCTCCTCACCCCCACCTCCAGCTGTGAAGCGAGGAGCTCGGGTATGTCTTTGGTTCTCACAAACAGGATGGAGGAAAATGGGACTGGTCAGATGGAAACAACTTTCTTTTCTCTTGATTTGAGAGAGACAGTGTTTGACAGGGTGCAGGGCTTCCTTTTGAGGGCTTGACACTTCAACTTGTGGCCAAGGGATCAGGCGGTAGTAGATTTAGAGCTTCCTTGCATCATCTTAACACTCATCTCACATTTTATTGTTTGAAGAGACTGGACACAATGCTTGCGAGCAGAGTTTTTGAACATGTCATTTTACTTTCTCTTCCCTCCCCCCCTGCGGCAGATACCCAGGGCTGCGTGCTGCTGCTCCACTCTCCCCCGGATCAGGATGTACAGCACTGGAGAGCCAAAGCATTGCCCATAAAGCACATAATTGGAAAGGGCTCTGGGCCTCTGCCCCAGTCAGAACACCTGCAATAGTGAACACTAACTGGTAGGTACCTGCACTTCCTCTCTGAGTACTTTACCTTTCCAAGAGGGTGAATATTCACCTGGATGATGGAGCAATGAATGCCGTTTAAAGAAAAGCCATTTGGGATATAAATGGTTTTGCAAGCAAAAATAGATAGCTACATTTAAAGGTAGTGATAGTATGCAGAGAGCATGTTGGAAGTATCGAGAGAGTATGTATCATTTTTATCATTCAAATGAATTTCATTACAGGAGCTGTGAAATTAAATCTAAATCTTCCTTTAAAGGGGGCAGGAAGAGGAATGTAAAAAGCACACTGGTAGTGGAGAGGCATAGTTTGTTTTATTTAGAAGGATTCAACAGCACCTAAAATGGCAAAAAAATCTTTTTTTTTTTTTTTAAAAAAGCAGGCCAATAGACTAATAAAGCCAGAAGTGTCTGTTATGCTCAGACATCTGACCTCCTGGGTAACACAGGCCAGGGGACTTCCCTGAACTACAGTCTGTTTCAGGGGTGTCAAAGATACAGCCTGCTGAGCCACATCTGATCCCCAGTACTGGCCCCACGTAGAAATGGTCCCGGACCTTCCTCCCCTTCCCCCACCACATGTCAGATCCAGCACCCATGATGACTGCTCTGGGTAGTCTGGGACTGCATCACTCCAGCAGCTGCTCCGATACTCGGGGTATCTGGCCCAGACTGGCTGAATCAGGTGTAGCATGCGTATCGCACCCAGTTCAGCCAGCATGGGTGCCACATGCGGCACAGTCCCAGAACAGCCAAAGCAAGTGCCCATGGGGCCAAATGGGTTTGACACCCCTGATCTATTGAAATGAACGTGTGTCCTTGAGGGGGAAAAAAATACAGTCTTGATTTCTAAACGTGCCATAACTCGTTGTAAGTTGTTCAGTGGTTAATTTTTCATAGATTTCATAGACATTAGGTCTGGAAGGGACCTTGTAAGACCATTGGGTCCAGCCCCCTCCCCAAGGGGCAGGAATTCAGCTAGGGTCAAAGGATCACAGCAAGATAAGCATCCAAATGTTTCTTAAAAGTGTCCAGAGAAGGTGCTTGCACCACCTCTGGGGGTAGTTTGTTCCAGGCCTTGGGGGCTCAGACAGTAAAGAAAAGAAGTTTTTCCTTATGTCCTAAAACAGTCTTGCAGGAGTTTGTGACCATTGGACCTTGTCATCCCTTGGGGTGCTCTGGTGAACAGATGTTCCCCCAGATTCTGATGTACACCCCTTATGAACACGTAGGCTGCCACCAGGTCACCCCTGAGCCTGCACTTCTCCAGGCTGAAGCGTCCCATAGCTCGTAGCCTCTCTTCATAAGGCTTGTTCTCTTGCCCTCTGATCATTTTCTCACTCTTAAGGCATATTGGATGCTCATTTAATTATGTCTACGGTCTTTGTCTAACTCCAACTTCCATCTATTGGATCCTGTTTAACCTGCACTGCTGGACTGAAGAGCCATGTACTATCAGATGTTTATGTTCCTCAGTAGGAGCTGATGAAGTTGCTTATTAATCTTTTCATTCACAATAAATTATGTTTTCCAGTCTTTTAATGAACTCATGACTGCTGAATCCTCTCCTGTTTTTCAATCTCTTTCTCCCATTGTGCACACTGGTCATCTTATGTCACTGGTGTTCTCACTGGCACCAAATCCATATGCAACATAACCTCCCTATGCCTGTGCATTAATTCCCCTGCTGGTGTATCTGAGGACCATTAGTTACAGTATTGCAAAGTGGGTTCATGTTCAACTTAAGATCCCAGCTCCGCCCCCCCTCCAGTCACTGCTTCGTATCATGTAAGCCAGTTCTCAACTTTAGTAGACTCAAGGCACCCCTTGAAAAATGCTGGCTCTTAGATTTCACTTGTTTTTGGAGTATGGAAAAATAACAGAGCAAATCTTTTGCTGCAAAGAACTCAGGAAGACCATAACAGGTCAAAATGTTTTTGGCACTATGGATTCCTGTTTGAAATCTCTGGGTTTATCTTGTGAATCATCTGTAGGTGTTTGTACATTTTAATAGTGCTATTATTGCGGCAACCCTGAAAGGATCTCACTGCACCCCAGGATGCCCCACACCCTGGTTGAGAATCCTAAGTATTTACCACTTCCCCATATTCAAACGTTACCAATAAGAACTTTTTATCCCAGGTCACTGTTAAAAATATAGAATAGTTCATGTCCAAGAACTAACTTTCATGGGCCCCACTGGCAACTTGGTCATCAGTTTCTGCTTTCTTATAATGCATTCTGAAACCTACTGGTTAGCCAGTTTTTAATCCATTTAAAGTGTGCCATGTGAATTTTGTATTTTTCTATTTCCTTAATTAAAACTTGATATGGCATCAAGTCAAAAGCTTTACAGAAATCAGTTACTTCAGTGCTCCTACTTTTATCAAACAAACTTACTGGTAATCTGATCAAAAATATTGTATTAGACACAATACCATCTCTTCCATACACCCATGTTGGCTGACTTTAGTTATAATAGCCTTCTTTAATTCTTTATCAGTCAGAGCTTGTATTAGTCGTTCCATTATTTTGCTCAGGGTTAATGTCACATTTCCAGTCCTGTACTTTTTGGGCTGGCCCATTCACTATTTGAAAGTATTGCTCCAAGATTAGCTTTCCTCCAGTCCTCTCGCATTTCCACAGTGTTCCAAGATCTATTGAAAAACAGCATTAATGGGCCAGAGAGTCTCTTGACCAGCTCTTTTAAAAACTCTGTGCAAGTTGTCCAGATCTTCTGGTTTTAACGCATCCTTAGTAGCTGCTCTTCAAAATCCTCCTTAATTGCTTTTGGACTACAGAGGATTTCATCATATGATATGTATACCATCTGGATTTTGTCCAACCACGGAACAGAAACACTTACTGAGTATTTATTCTCCCTTTTCTGTTCTGTAACTGAAATGTCAATCTAGCCATCAGTACTTTAAAACAAAAGTTTTCCTCTTCTTTGGCTCCTTCTGTTTCTTTTGTCACATTTTGGCAGTTCCTAGTTTTTGCCTTATATTTGCTACTATTGACTTCCCATTTCTTCCATTCATTTTATTTGTTTCTAGTTTTTTTTTTTTTAATAAAATGTTTATAGTTGTTTTCACCTCTAAACTAGGTTGCATCTGTAAGCAGTACGGCCTTCTTTGTGGCTTAAGGGGCACTTAGTGAAATGTTCTTAAACATTTCTTGGTTATCATTAATATTTTGAATTCTTTCTCCTGACTGGTTAGACTCATAATTATTTTAAAGCTGTGTGAAATTGGCCCTTTTAAAGTACCAGGCTGTATTATGTGCACCTGTGTATTACTGGTTAAGACTTTACATTTTATCGGGCAAACAGAATAATCAAGTCATGATCACTTGTATTCAAGCCACAGCTAATTTCTTTTTTTCTTTGATCAGTTCATCGTTATCTGTCGAGATGAGGTTCTATCACAGAATTCCCTCCTGTTGGGTACAAGACTTCTGTGCTATAAAATTATCATCTATAATTTTTTAGAAATTCTGTGAATTGTTGAGTTACCAACAGTCTGAGACTTCCGCCATACATCACTCAGCTTGAAGTTCCCCTTGATAACACTGCTTTTTTCCTATGAATTGTAGATAACCTGTTTCTTAAGCAGCTATCTTGTTCTCTAATGTATTTTGGTGGTCTGTGGCAGACATAATGTGTTTCATCTATTAGGAAGCTGATCCGAAAGCATTCAGGATCATTTACTTTCAAGTTGTCAGTGGGCACATCTGCATGTGCCCCTACCGTGCCGTTGTTACTGTGCTGTGCCGGCAGCATACGGTTATTTTTAGCTGCTGCGTCTGTCTAGTGACGTGCTATAGCAAGGGAGCGCATTACTACAGCGATGTAGCTGCAGTATCATGGTTTGTGCCCACTGATGCTACGTCGCTGTAGCGCATTGCTGCAGCAACGTAGCGTCTCGTATAGACTCACCCAGTGACTTGGAAACAGGTAATGTCATTTTGATGCAGAAGTCCACCCCTTATCTTCTGTCCATTCAACCTGTCCAAAACAGCTTATAACTATTGATTATTTTTTTTAGCATTGCAGTCAGTAGAGTCTTGCCCATTAGGTTCCAGTAATATCTACTATATTGAATTTATGTTCATAAATGAGCAATTCCACTTCCTTTTGCTTTTAGCCAGGCTCCTAACATTAGCACATAAGCAATTAAATAATTTCTTCTCTTCGTATCCTGTCCTTAGACTTGTTCCCCTTCTGCTGAACTGAAAATCACCTGAACTTGCAGGCCCCCTTTCCCCACAGAAGCTGGATTAATGCTATCAAACCCCAAATCCTACACCCTATCAAGCCAAACAACCTTGTGTCTTTTGTTTTCCTTTGTTCATGAGATAAGAAAAGTCTCCAAGAAGTTAATTTGGATGTTCCTCTCCTTTAAGCTCCCTGAAGTGGTCTGTAAAGCTGTGAGATATCCCATCAATACATGCACCACCAGCATCAGATCCTTGTGCATCAACTTCAGAAGCTTATCCAATCTAGTGATGTGCCATGTCTTGGCTTTGGGGAGACAGGACACCATCCAGGTTGCTGTCAGGTTCCTTATATATAAATGTTGGGCTGAACAGCCATCTGCTGGTGTATGCCGTACACCTTTCCATTCCATTTGACCAGCTGGATCTCCAGAGATTGTCTTCCACCATTTTAGATCTCTGGTTTATTGGAAAATTTTTGCCAACTGGAATTTGACACTAAACTAGTAAAATCCAATTAAACAGTTTTTGGTTTTATGGAGGCAGGGACTGACGTGTGAGGCACAGCACTCCCAGCATTTGTTAGAAATACAACAGCATCACACTATCTTGTGAGAACCAGAAAGCTAGTCGCCAACAAAAGGGGAACCAAAATGCTTAGGTGGGGAGAAGTGGCCAAAAGGAGTATTCTATGAAAGTGTATTTTATAACCCTGTATATCTTTTCAATCTCTCAGGTGGGATTGGTGATACAGGGAAAGGCTTTTTTTAATATGAATTT